CCTACACGTCTGCCTGAGCTAAGGGCTGAAAAGACAGGCAACAGAAAGAAACAGCAGCAGACCTAAACAATGCTCTGGCAACAAGGAGCTCAACCATATTTCTTGTTTAGCACCACACCTACCAGTCCTTTCCTGTATGAATCAGTCACTCTCCAAAACCCTTATTTACAAAAATGCCTTTTGTTCACAAAAAGTTTATGCATTTCACATTCAAAAAAATCTTTATACATTTCACTTTCTCCTTTAACATACAATGAAATGTTCTGCATTTTTACAAAAACCACAGGAACATTAACTAGTCAAATAAAGGTCATCTTACACAGCATATAAAAATCAAGCTTAAGTGCAATTATGTTCTCCACAGCACAGAGCAAAGAACGAGTGCAGTCAACAAACTGCAGCACATACATAATTGTGTGCAATTATACAAGCAATACGTAACTTCTAATTACTTTGCATTGATATCACTCCACTGTATTCCAAAATCTGTATCAAAAAGATGTCAGTCAACTCCAGGTGTCTTTTAAAAGCTAGATCTATTCCACTCATTGTGCATTACTCACTCTGGTAAATAATGGTATTTACAGACACCAAAATGTTCAAAAAGTATCTTAAGAATTCTTTCCAGACCTCACATTTGCTGTATTGCTGGAACTGTCACTCACATTACTGACAGCGTTTCCCTTGGTCCCTTAGCAGAATAATGTTTCTAGACCGCATAAATTCAGTAGCTAGCGGTACTGAACTAGACAAATTAAACTGCATACCATGCTACCCCAGCTGCTAAGTAAACAGGCAGTGAGCTCAAAGTGTCTACCACTGTTTATTCTTACCAGCTGGGATCTGGAAGCTGGGATAGTGGTATTTGTGAGTTTGATAACTAATTAAACCTAGAAGCCTATAAGGCAGCCCCAGCTAAAGTTACCTCTCTTGTAAGAAAACAGGTATCAAAATCTGGGTACATATAAACAATGCTGTCCTTTTTGTAAATGCATGCTGTGTCATGTAATATAACAACACGAAATGCCAGCAAGTTAACACAAGCATGGCAGACAGCTGCGACAGCCAATAGGCTGTTTGCATATCCAGTTAACTGAATGGATGGCAAATTACCTCCCCTGATATCTTGAAGGCACAATAGTTCAGTTCCATCGCAAGGCAATCGTTTTTTCCCCAGATGTTCCCAAAAGACATACAGAGAAACTAACTAAAACTTCTGCAAAACAATCTCCTCAAGCTCTCCAAGAACATATCAAGAGTCCAGCGCGTACTGACCAGGTTCTCTGAAATACTCCACATGTGGAAGGTATAATGTTCCACATCAAATTTACTTATTCATACATATTTGATGTTACACAGGATTTCTGATTCAGCAGAGCAATGTAAAAATACCAACTCCACAATGCAAATAAAAGTTACACTTAGCAAAATATATCTGTTGCAATACACAGTTCAATCACATCACCAGTATGATCCCCATTACTGGTCTCTGTAATACGGCCATTGTTATGAACTGGGCACCCCTGGTAACTGGGAAGAAATACGTGTGTTGAAGCCAGGTCAAGCCTGTTGCTCTCTTCAAAATGACTTTGTGAGTTGTTTAGTTTTTATACTCTCTGTTGGGCTGAGCCATGCATACACTGGCCCTATGCTGTTTGGCTAACTCAGGAAGACACATTCTTCTAAAGAACTCAAGGAGAAATATTTACACCAGCAGTTGATCCACTCAACTGTTGATAGGTGTTTATCTGAAACAAAGGTTTATTCAGTCCCCTTTGTGTTGAGATGAAGTGGGCTTCTTTGCATTATTCTCTGAGCTTCATGGGTACATCAGCTTGCCCATCTCCACTGACCATTCCTCCATTGTAGGGGTTTATTCAGTAGAGTCACATTCCATCCTTTGTCAGCCACAGAGCTGACATGCACGTGAGTTCAGGCTGAGATTTCAGCTGATGCCCTACCAAGTAAAATTATACAAAAAACATCTACTAGTCTTGCAGATACACTATTTGATACCTCTACAACACAAAACTAACCTGTAAGTAAGCATACCACCACGTCTGGAAGCAGCTGACCTGGCTGGAGAAGAGAAGCAGGGAATAGGGGGAAGGAGAACTGTGCAGTATGCAAAGTAGCAGCCTGAGTTCAGAGATCTACTATACAACAAACGATGGGCCTTATGGGTCAGGACAAAAAGGATAGTCAACAAAAGAGCTATTGCTGTGGGGATCTGCCACAGTCTGTTCCATCGAGAAGAAATGACAACTTCTTTAGAGAACTGTAAGAAGCATCATTATCACCAGGTCCTGCTTCTCATGGAGGATTCTTTAAGTACCTCAACATTTCATGGAAGAGAAATGTGGCCTGGCACAACCAACCCAAGACACTTTTGGAGTGTGTTCACAATAATGTTTTGATGTTCTGCTGGATAGACAAGTTGATGAAGAGGGGTGCTCTGACTGATCTCCTTCATAGGCATATGGAAAAACTGGAGGTTGATGCAAAGTCACATGCAAAGTCCTGCAATTACAGTGAAATAGTTCCACTCAAAACCACAGCCAGAGTGTTGGTTATGCAGAAAAGCAACTCTGCAGAACAGGATCCTGGAGAACAGGTAAACAAGATGAAAATGAGTTGGTAAAATGCACTGACACCCAGCCACATACTATAATGCACCAGTAAAAGTGAAAATGCCCCTCCATGAAGCACCCCTGAAGTCACGTATGGAATACTATGTTTTCCTTTCCCCACTACTCAGTTTAAGAAAGAGATGAATGAAGTGGACCAAGTACAGCAAGGTACCAATGAGGCAAATTTAAGGGGTTGAAACACACAAGACACAAGGAGCGCCTGGGAGGGCAGTACCTGCACAGCCTAAAAAGACCAGGTAAGAGCCTACATGATATAGACAAATACTGAATGTAGGTTAAAGAAAAGATAAGAGCTAGACTTGATTCAGAGGGCAGTTAAAGGGCAAGATGAAACACTCAGAAGCTGGAGCAAGGGAACTTTTAACTAGATAAGGAAAATATTATATGAAGAGCAGTCAAATATTTGACAAGGTCACCTAGGCTGCAGAATCTCCATCCCGGGACAATATCCTGCTTTGAGCAGGGTACCCAGCTACAAGACCTCTCCAACCTAAATCAGATCCCCAAGCCCAAAGTGTTATTCTTCACAGTCCTTCCTGCATATATTGTATTGCTGGCTAATGCAGGTGCAATCTGAACGGAAACATTCAATTGATGAATACTGCCACCCTGGACTTTGTCAATACGAGAGATCAAGCTAAATTTAGCGCCTGCATTTTTCATTTGTTTGTTTTATACAAGAGTTCAGTTTTACTAAAGAACATACCTTGTTCAGCCTGCAGAAGAGAAGGCTTCAGGGGGACTTTAGCACAGCTTCCAGTGCCTAAAGGGGCCATCAAGAAATATGAAGAAGGACTTTTAAAAGGGCATGTAGTGATAGGACAAGGAGAAATGGCTTTAAACTGACAGAGAAGAGATTTAGATTAGATACTAGGAAGAAATATTTCCTGTGAGGGTGGTGAGGCACTGGCAGAAGTTGCCTAGAGAAGCTGTGGCTGCCCCATCCCTGGAAGCATTCAAGGCCAGGTTGGACAGGGCTTGGAGCAACCTGGTCTAGTGGAAGGTGTGTCCCTGACCATGGCAGTGGGGTTGGAACCAGATGATTATTAGGGTCCCTTCCACCCCAAACTATTCTGTGGCTCTATGGTATGGTTAAAAACTGCATTAGCACAGGAGTAATAGGTTGCAAGCTAACTATGTGCATGCTTCTTAAACAAAAAAAAAAAAAAAACCAAACAAAAAAAAAAAAAAAAAACCCAAAAAAAACCCAAACCCCAAAAAACCCCCAACTGTGCCTTCACTCTGACTTGAACATTCCTTTTCCCAAAATGTACTTATTAAAATACCGCAGCGTCACACCACGAGCTCTTCCAGTTCGAGGCCGCTCCTCGGCAGCCTTCCAAGGGGAGGAGTTCTCCC